TCAGTGCACGGGCGCGGTCATGTTGGCGGCAACGGTCACGAAGGTGCGGCATGGTAAGACATTGGTGCCAGCGGTAAATGCGGACGGAAGGCAAGTGCGATTGCCGGCAAGGCAAGAACTGGGGCAGTGGGTCCCACTCGACAAGGACGTTGAGCTGTTGCAGATGAGCGGCGAGCTTCGCCGTGACAAGATCAATGAATGGTTGGACGGACTCGGTGGCAGCGATGAGCCGCTCGAGGACGAGGACCAGGTCAACGTAGGTATCGAGGACGACGAGAGCAGACGGATGATCGTGCGGTTGCTGAGGGTATATAGGCAGCTGACGGCGGACAAGAGCGACTGCCCGCCCGCCACGGTACTGAGCACTGAGCACCACATCGACACGGGCGATGCAGCGCCCATCATGCTGAAGCGCAGACGGCAGGCGCAGGCAGAGGACGAAGTGATCGAAACAAATGTTCGGAAGATGCTCACAGCTGGTGTGATTGAGGAAGGCGAAGGCGCCTGGGGTTTCCCTGTTGTGCTAGTGCGGAAGAAAGATGACGAAGTACGTTTTTGTGTGGATTATCGCGCTCTAAATAAGGTCACACGAAAGGACGTGTACCCGCTACCGAGGATCGATGAGGCGCGCTGCTATTCAGCACCTTGGATTTGAAGGTAGGCTATTGGCAGATCCGCGTGGCGGACAGGGACAAAGAGAAGACGGCTTTCACGACGAAGCAAGGACTGTACCAGTTCGACCGCATGCCCTTCGGACTTACGAACGCTCCGTCCACGTTTCAACGGATGATGAACAGTGTATTACGCGGCCTTACGTGGACGGCATGTTTAGTCTATCTAGACGATATTGTGGCTTATACACGAGGTGGTATCGAACGACACGTGTTGGAGTTAGCTTGCGTGCTTGAGAGGCTCTCACAAGCAGGACTCACATTGAAGCTGAAGAAGTGCGTGTTCGCGGCGAAACGCATGGAGTACTTAGGACACGAGTTGAGCGCGGACGGCGTGAGGCCGCTTGATCGGTTGGTGACAGCGGTACGCGAATTTCCGCAGCCGAAGGACGCGGTGGAGGTGAAGCGGTTCGCTCGACGGTTCATTAAGGGCTTCGGCAGCATCAAGGCGCCAGTGACCAAACTACTGCGGAAGGGAGTTGACTGGGAATGGACGGGTGTGCAACAGGAGGCTTTCGAACACGTGATGGAGGCCTTGACGAGCAAACCTTTGCTTGTCTATCCGGACTTTACCCTAACCTTTCGACTAGTGACAGACGCGAGCAAAGTGGGGCTCGGGGCATGTCTAATGCAAGATCGAGGCCACGGCTGGCAGCCGGTGGCGTATGCGAGTAAGGTGACGAGTACGACGGAGGCGAACTACGGCATCACGGAGCTTGAATGCCTGGCGGTGGTGTGGGCTATTAAGTTGTTCCGCCCGTATCTCTACGGACGGCGCTTTACCATCGTCACAGATCATTCAGCGCTCAAGTGGCTGATGACTAGTCCTAACCTGACCGGTAAGCTACATCGTTGGGCCTTGACCCTCCAGGAGTTTTATTTCGAAGTGGTCTATAGGTCAGGAAGTACGAACGTAGTGGCGGACGCGCTTTCGCGAGCGCCCGCTAAAGCTACAGTGTTGTTGGCGGCAATCGAACGGCGCCGGCGGTCGAGGGAGCGATCAGCAGCATGCGGTACGACGACGGCGGAAACGACGGATACGGGTGGTGAATCAGGTCCGGCGGCAGCTGAGCGAGGTACGAGTGCGGCGCCCGAGCAGATGACGGCGACGGTGGCTAGCGAGGAGTTGCAGTCCGCACACGAGGTGTCGAAGACACCGAACAGGACGGCGAGGCGGCAGACGGCGGAAGAGGGCCACGAGGACGGCGACAGCGAGCGGCAGTCGGCCAAGAACGGCGTGAGCGACGGCAGTGAGCGCGGAACGGCGACGGAGGATGAACACAACACGGACGAGGCGTACGAGAACGCCGAGACGACGGAGGACGACGACGAGGTGCCCGGGCAGCAGACGCCGAGTACCAATGCACAGGGCGTGGTTACGACGGAAGTGGCGACGGCGGTAAAGCAGCCAGTGAAGCGACGTACGAAGCGGCGTGAAGAGTCGACCAGCGCGACGCGACCATTGACACGCGGAGCGAAGCGGCGTGCTGAGGAGCAGCGGCAACGCGAACACCACGCGCAGGTCACGACGGGCGTGTATGACGGCGCGGCGCAGCACGACGATAACGGCGTAGTGGGGATGACGGCGACCGAGAGCGCCGTGGGCACGAACAGCGGCGAATCGAAGCCGACGACGAGAGCGACGGACCCGAGCAGCGCGTCCACGGCGGAAACGGCGGTCCCGGGTGGCGTAGATCGGCGAAGAGGGCGACCGGAGACGATGGGTATGGTAATGGCCCCAAGTATGACGCCGGAGACACGGGCGTCGACGATGCAGGCCACGGAGAAGACGGCAACGGCGGCAGTGACGGAGCCCAGAAGCCACGCGCGCGACAGGAAGCGCGTGACCTTCGCGGTACCTATGGAGAGCGGCGACCGCCGTAATGATGAACGGTACGACGGAGGCGGTACGGCATCGGAGCCGATGCAGCGCAGTGAGTTGATGAACGCTGCGGCTACGAGCGTGACGGCGGCGCACGAAGTGCACGGAACGACGACCGCGGTGGCCGATGACGACACGAGCGCGGCAGCGACGGTGACGGGCACGACCACGAGCCGTGTCAGCGGTAAGAAGTCCGCGATACGTTCGAAGCGGCCGAAGGTGGTCACGGTTTCGACGACAGTGCCCCTGACGACGGATGCGGCGGCGAAGGCCACGAAGAAGACGAAGGGCACGGCGACAGACGCGGGCGACACACTGCGGCTGTCCAGGACGAAGACGAGCACGACTACGACGAGCATGGAGACGGTGAGCAACCACTCGATTCCTATGAGCACCGCGAATGACGGCGTCAATGAACGAAGAGCCCCTGTACTACAACGAGAAGACGGACACGGTGAGCGGGAGCAGCTACAAGAACAACGGGACGGAATGGCGCGGCGGCCAGTGGCGGAGCCGACGCTACAACTCACCGACGACGAGATTGTGGCGGAGTAGGCGAAGAGCAGGTTGGCGCAGCGCTTGCTCGAGGCTGGCGAGTACCGAGGGCAACAAGTGACGAAAGCATTCGGTCTGGTGACGATCAAGACAAAGGATTGGCAACGAATTGTATTACCCCCTGCATTATGGGCTACGGTACTAAAGGTGTGACGAGACTGAGCGAGGTTTTGCCTCAACCGGTCATCACCTGTCTACTGACCCGCCTGAACGCGCCATTCTGATTGGCCGAGACTGAACCCGGACCCGACTGTACACCGTGCGACAAGATCTGAGCTGGAATTCGGCTATGTTCCGCGGAGCGAAGTGCGCTCAAGCCTAGGATGGGCCCTTCAGGCCTGGAAGACTGCGTTCAGACGAGAAACCCTGAACGCACTCGATCCGTCCAGGCCGCCCCCGTCCTTAAGCGGGTTGACACATTGAGGCCGTCGAAAACGCCTGCACGAACGTATCGTGCACGGTGTCCCGCCTCGCCTAGGCTCTGAACGCACATCGAATGCGTGTACCCGGAGCTCAGCCCCCCAGTAAAGTCGCGTACATGGTGTCCAGACCGCTGGTCACCCGGAAGAAGCCCCGCCAAGTGTCCCACGACCCAGTGAAGAGTCAACCTACCCTTGGCCGCAAGGTCTTGAGTATGGTTTCAGCCTTGGACGCAAGTCGCCTTTGGCAGCAGACCCTGGACGCACTGCGTTCAGCCCTGCTGACTCTGAAACCCGGTTTCAAGGATGCGGGTTCAAGGGAACCTTGGTCGCATGCGGCCAAGGTTTCCCAAGAGCCAGTCATGCACAAAGACATGGGCACATTGAAGCTGGGCAAGAATCCAGTGGAGAATGTCTACGTCAACAGTTCTAGTATACTCAAGTCAAGACATTCGCCAGACGTGTGGCGAAGAACACAGAAGAACACAGAAGAACGCTACGAGAGAGATACCTTTACACAAAGCCTAGCGATAGTCTAGCATATAACAATCAGAGAGTTCGTTTTACCCCCTACTGCGCAAGTCGTCGAGGAATCGGGTCCGCTGTCTTTAAGGACAAGAGCAGTGCGGAGCTCCCCACACACATTCAAGTCCAGTTACGTGGGGATCAGTCTGCTCCGGCTGCTGAAGTGATCCACGTATTCCATTTCCCAGTTGGGCCCATTGCGTTGAGGTAAGGGTGGTGTCCCATTTCATGTTAACGATTGATATCTCGGGTGGTTTGGTAGCAGTCGCCCCCGAGAATAGTTTGATTGACTGCGTTTAGGATCGGATTGTATTTGGTCTGTATATTTCCTTCATCTGAGGGTGGTGCGCGTGTGAAAGTGCGTTCAAGGTTGACCAGTACCTTGATCGCAGATTAGTTGACTGGTGTACTACCCACCGCCCAAGGGTCTAAGAATAAGTGGCGGCTGTGTGTTTGTGTATAACTCTGCATTTGTATTGGTTGTCTGAAAGTGGTGTGTATTTCTGGGGTTCTAACTTGTGGTAGTAACCCTGATCCTTCACCCACGCTTCGAGCTTCAGCCATTTCGGAGAAGTGCGTTCAGACAAGTGAACGTTACGCTCAATGAACCCAAGGCTCTCAACCCCACAGACAACTCACCTGGTGATCGATCCAGGCTCCCCGAAGATAAACGACACCGATAGGGATTCACAAGGTGCCACGCCACCCTGGCCGCATTTTTCCCAGAACCTGCGTTCAAGGAAATCTGTGTTCAGGGTTTACTTTCCCAAAAAGGTTTGCTCGTCTACCCTTTCTGGGCTACCGCTATACACCTGGGCGTAAAAGGTTTCACCGACCTCGTCACAGCTGGTGCGCGTGCCCGGATTTGGGGTCCTCGGATTTCACCGAGTTGTCTGTATTTTGTGAGAATTGAAAAGTTGGGCTTCGCAAAGTACTGACCAAGTCGCTATGGCGGGAGCACGAAGCAAGAAGGATGGAGGGCGCGGTGACGGAGGTCGTGGTGACGCGACGCGTCAGTCGCGCCGAGCGCAAGGATTGCCAGCTGAATCGCACATGGACCTGGATATCATCAACCGGGAAGCGCGTGCGAGGAGGAAGGCAGAGCGGGATGCGAAGGAGGCTGAAGACAAGGCCACGTCGACTGAACCCGCTGTTCAAGACGACCAAGTGTCGACGGAGGCGGCTGAAGAAGAAGACCTGCGTTCAGAGTCGAAGGCTGAATGCATCCCGGAAAAGCAGGCTCAGACGACTGAGTCTGCGAAGGCGTCTGAGGGAGGCGCTAATGTGGGTGAGCCCCCGGCGGCGGATCGAGTTTCGGACTCTCCGCAGCCGGAACAAGAAGAGAAAACTCCCAAGGATGTGCCGGTCAAGGTCAAGGCTGAAGTGATCGAGATCGAGGAGTCGGATGCCAAAGAGCGTTCAGCGCTTGAGGACGCGGAGGTGTCCTCGCGCTCGCCGCAGAGTTCGTCGAACCAGGCTCCGTCATCGTCGCAGAGTCAAGCCCCTGAACCCGAAGTGTTGCCGCGAGGCAATGCTTCAAACCCGGTTCCAGCACCTCAAAGTCTGAACGCAGATGTGCGTCCAAGTTTGGGCGCGGGTGCTGAAACGGCTGACACGATTCAGCTTGATGAGACGGCGGCGAAGAACTTTGTGGCACGCCAAGTGTATCGCTGGGAGCAGATGCGTTCAGGACGTGTCGTTCCGCCCTCAGTGGAGTATGCTTGGCCGAATCCGCGGCCAGACTTCTCGGTTTGGCAAGAGGCCATAATGACTACGTCGGACTACTTGCGGCGTCGAATGGCTCTGGAGAATCGAGACGCGGCTTGGATCGCTGAGCTGCGTCCTGAACGCAGAGTGTTAGGCATCGCTCAAGACCTGACCGCAGTTGTCATCCCGCCGAGTATGATGTCTTCGCGTGAGTGTGCGGCAGTGTTGGAAAATCTCCTCTTTGAAGCTGGTTTTGAATTCGTCAACGCGGTTCCAGACTGGTTCATGACGCATGCGTCCAAGATCAACCCTGGATATGTGCGTTCAATCGTGGAAGAGGTTCAGCAACTCCTGACTATCGAGCTCATCGAGTGGAAGCAGCTCACGGCTGGAGTGTCGTTCAAGGTCGTTCCAGCCTCGGATACAAAACCTGCGTTCAAGGAAGAGAAGACACAAGACGCTCAAGCTGTGAAGGATGATCTATTGATGGATGACTACGAAGTCGAACTGCTTGGCCAAGCCTTCGTCTCTCAATGCCGGATGGCTGGGATCCTGGCTCTTCGCAGCCCGCGAGGGTCACCGGAGATTGAGCCCTATCCCAAGCGCCCGCAGTATCGGCCAGCTCGTCCGTTGAGTGTGTCGACTCCGTCTGTTCACTCGCTGGTCCCATCGACCGACGTGAGTCTGAACGCAGATGCCCGAGCCATGAGCGTTCGAGGTTCGACCCTGAACGCATCTTCGAGTGGCATCTCAGACTCCGTTCCAAGCTTGATCGGCCCGTCGGGGACTTCGAACGACTCGGCGTACGCGACCTCCTTTCACACGCAGACGTCTCGGGACAGCTCGTCGTCGTCATCGCTGATGTCGCTGGGCCACAGTGCTTCAACGCATATGCGTCCAGGCCTGGTCATGAGCGTTCAGGCAGGTGGAGCCTTGGCCGCAGCGCCCGACATGGGCATGTTCGTGACCAAGACTGTTATCCCTGCTCGCCGTACGCTGCCAGACCAGGACGACGTCGACATGGCTGAGGTCGCAAGTGCTGAAACGCGAAGTAGCAGAACTGCGTCCAGGCGTCGGTCGTCCAAGGCGAAAACTGCGGTCAAGCAGGAGAAACTTGAACTTGCGCGGAGCGAGTCGGGGCTGACCTCGGAAGGCCTCCACCAGTCGTCCAGAAGCTCGCGTCATGATCATTCAGTGAGGACCCGGTCTAGCCTGACCAGTCGATCTCTGCGTTCAGGCTTTCGGTCTTCGTCGGCGTCGTCCGGAGCTGTACAAGTGGCCTTGAACGTCATGCGCCAACTTCAGGAGCAGCAAGCAGCGTTCCTGACTCAGATGAGTCAAGCGCAGCTGGACATGCGCGGCTGGAGATGCAGCGTGAGCTGCAGAACGCAAGCTTCGAAGTCCGCGCGATGAAGGAGGAAGTGTCCCGGGCTCAAGCGGAGAAGGCTTTTGCTGAACGCGCCTTCGCCCAAGCTGAAGCCGCTCGTGTAGAGGCTGAACGCAGGACCCTGGAGGAGGCTGAATGCAGATCGCGTGAAGCTGAATGGCACCCTGAGGTCCCAGCCTACTCCGGCCCAGTCGAACCCGCGGACTATGCGGCAGTGCACGAAGACCACCTCTTGCGCGCGCGTTCAGACGTCGCTGAAGTGGCGACCAAGCTCGCGAAGCAGCAGTACGAAGCGGATCGGGAGGACCTTGAGCGCCACTGGAAGGAACGCCTGAACGCAGCCGAGGCCAAGCTTCAACGCGCTGAGGCTGATAGCGCCAGCGCCGAAGCGGAGCGCGCTCGCCGCGCTGAAGAAGCCGACGGTGAGATGAAGAAGCGCTTAGACACCGTGCAGCAGACGATTCAGAACGTACTCTTCGAGCGGGAGCGAGAACGTGCGGAACGGGAGCTTGAACGCGACACTGCGCTGAACCGCCAGAAGTTCCTGGCCGACCAGAACCGCGAACTGCGTGCAACCCTTTCCCAGGTTCAAGCCGTTCGCGCAGCAACGGCCCCTCATCCCGCAACCGGAATCAAAGCTGAAATGTCGGCTGTCCCTCAATCGACAACCTTGAATCAAGTATCCAGTGGTGCAATCAATGATGGCGTGGCACCAGGTACCGGTTATGTGCACTCAAAGAACACGACCAAAGTCGGTGCTGCCCAGCTACGTGCGACCGTGGGTACGAGTCTGCCGAAGAAGGAAACTGCTGGAAGTTCCCAAGGGACGAAGACCGTGACGGCGTCGAAGAGCTCTGCATCCAAGTCGGAATCTGCGGCCAAGGGTTCAGCGTCATCTGCAGCCAAGAAAAGTGCGGCCAAGAAATCTGCGTCCAGAAGATCCTCTTCCCGGAAGGGTAGCAAGGAAGACGCAGACCCGCCGTCTTCTGACCCAGACGACTCCGACTCCAGCTCATCGGACTCCAGCGATGACGATTCAAGCTCCTGTGACTACAGCACCAGTTCCAGCGACGACTTCGACCTGGACCTGACTACCTCGACGACGACCAAGGAAGGCACGACCGTTTGGACGTATCGACCGTACATCAACTACAATGCGGTTGAGAAGTTCAGCGAGGATGCGTCCGTGGAAGATCGCGTTGGTTGGTGGGAGAAGTTCACCGACATGGCTGCTCAGGGTTCCTGTCCGGACAAGATGAAGATTCGCCAGCTTCGGGGACGAATGTCTTCGTCGCTCAGGGACTGGTACGCTCAGCTGCCAAAGTCCACCAGGCACAACTGGAAGAAGCTGTCTCGTCGGTTCAAGGTCGTGTACTGCCGTACGACTGGTCCCTACTCTGAGCGCTAGTTCACCATGAAAGTGCGTTCAGGCGAGACTCCACGCAAGTTCTTCTACCGGCTGAACGCAGCTGCGGTCAAGGCTGGGATTGAGTTCCAGAAGTCATCCAAGCATCGGGAGCGACACCTTCGTCGTTTCATCAAGAAGCTGAAGGATACCCAGCTGAAGACCGCGCTGCAGGGACAGAAGTTCAAGAGTATCAGCGAAGTCGAACATGCGTTGTGACGCCACGAGGACATCTGGCGCGAGGAAGGCTATGACACTCCCCCGCCACGGCGTGACTTCCGCGCTGACAACGACCCGCAAGGCCGTTTCAAGGCTCAAAGGCCTGGACGCGCTTTTGTCGCTCAAGGTTCAGAACCTGATTCAGACTCCGAGCCTGAACGGCGTGTCCGGTTTGAAGAGCTGGATGATGAAGTCAAGCCGGCCGCTCAAGTGGCGCTCGCCAAGGGACGTGAGAAGAATCTGAGTGAACCTGTGCCAGCTGAAACGCAACCCGTGTTCAAGGTGGGAACGTCACGAAGAAGATTTACCGTGTTTTGGGTGCCGAAGGATGGCGCCCTCCACCTCAGTTTGGAAATGTGGATCTGCGTCCAGGCAACCCGGACCTGCGTTCAAGGTCAATGTCACCGCGTTCAAGCAATTCGCCGTTGCAGAGGACTTGCGAGAGCTGTGGAAGGATCGGACACTCGAAGGAGAACGGCTGGGCAGAACTGATCTGTGATCGCTGTCACCAACAAGTTCACCCGACTGAAGCCTGCCGCGCCATCCCATGTACTGGCTGCGACCAGTTCCATCGTGGATTCTCGTGCGAAGATTGGAGCGTTGTCCATGCAATAAAGAAGTTGATGCGCCAAGGTGGACTCAACGACCAAACCCTGAACGCGTTTCAGAGTGGTGGCGATGGCTCTGAGTCCAGCCCGCTGGCAGAACGTAGTGGGTTGAGGAAAACCTTCGCGTTATGTGCCCTAGCATACGTCGGCCCGGAGCTGAGAAGGAGAAGAATCGACCAAGCTGACCGACATTGCATGGCCGTGTCCCAAGGTTAATCTCCCGATTCAGCAAACCTGCGTTCAGACGATGTGCGTTCTGACAATGAGCGTCTGGACGCAGAAACCCCGTTTGAGTTTCGACTTCGGCCGGGTGAAAGCTGTGACTGGTGGGATGATCATGAACCTGAGGATGCGCATGAACTTGCTATGGTGCATGGTGCTGTGAATGACTGCCGAACAAAGATCGTCCTGGATACTGGTGCATCCGTAAGCATGCTGAGCTTCGACTTTGCGGGAAGGTTAAAGCTCAAGCTCCGACCACACAAACAGATGAAGGTTTCAGGGTTGGGAGGTGCTCCGACCTACATTTCAGCGCATGCTGAGGTCATGATCACGTTCGGACCTAGAGTTGTCTACGTTTTCCGGCTTTGGGTCGCCAACATTGGTGACGGCGTGGATGTTTTACTTGGTATGAACTTCATGTTCAGCGCCGGTGTGCGATTGTCGACTCGAGAAGGCTTGATTCAGCTTCCGGACGAAGAGACGATTCAGATGTGCGGTGAGCCTGACCGCAGTCGAATGGGTTTGGACCTTCCGGTGCGGCCAGCGGAGATGTTGTTCCTGAAACCAGGACGAAGTGCTATTGTGCGTATTGACTATGGCGAATCTTTCCCTCAGCGCGAGGTTGTGTGGGCTGGACGCGGAGACCGATGGGTGACAAAGATCATTTATGCGGCCAAGTCTTGGCCGACTGCGATCAAGGTTGTGGACATCTCCGACAAGCCGGTTTGGATAGACACGCAGACCCCGGTGTCTAGAATTGTGGAGTATGAATGTTTTCCTCGTGCTGGTCGCTTTGTGCGTTCAGGCAAAAGACAGTATCAAGAGTGGCAACAACTCATTCTCGAGACCACTCTGTCTGATCAAGCCCAGATGCGCGCTAAACGACTGGCTGAAATAATGAATCGTCAGGATCCAACCTGCGTTCAGGCTTGCAGTAACCCGTGGCCGTCCAAGATCATGTTGCGACCAACTTCAGGTACCGCTCAAGTTCGGCTCGTGCAGGTGAACAAGAGGCCGAAACCGTTACGGGTTACCTTCACCGAGGAACCTCCTCAGGAGCGAATCTTGAACGCAGCTGATTCAAGGACTAGGGATGCCGGAGTTCAAACAGACCCGGTTCAGGCTGAACAACCTAGCGTTCAAGTTCTCAGCCCTCGTTGCGCACGCAGCGAGTGTTGCTGCAGCCGTAACGCCTGTAGGAGACGTCACCCACGCCGCACACCTTGAACGCAGGTGTTCCGAAGACGCTGGTCGGTCTGACCCCCTGAACGCAGATGCGGTTGACACTACGGCCATATTGGAGGAACCCTGTGGGTCAGGTGAGCATTCGGATGCAGGCATCGAAGAGCTGGTTGCAGCCAAGGGATGCGTCAAGAAATCACCTGCGGTCAGCATCGAGATGCTTGAATCAGACTATCAGGGTGTTGTACTCAGCTTCGATGGTGCGGCGAAGACTTCAACGCGTGTTGGAAGCTGCAGATGTGTTCTGTGGCAGCTACCCGACTGGGAAGTCCTGGACGCACGTGGGTTCATCCTGGAAGATGTGACTGTAAATGACGCTGAGTACCATGGACTGCTGAATGGGTTGAAAATGGCATCTGAACGAGGAGTTGAGGACCTGGTCGCAGTTGGTGATTCAAGGATCGTGATTCAGCGGGTTCAAGGCTTGATAAACTGCAACCAACCCAACCTTCAGCGCAGGCTAGCTGAATATGAAGTCATCTGGACGAAGTTCAAGACTGTGCAGCTGGTGCATGTCAAGCGCCTTTACAATCAGGCTGCTGACTACCTGACGTCGAAGACTCTAGCGTTGGGTAAGTCGTGGCAGGTTGAAGACGCTGAGGAACGTTTGTACCTGCAACTTGTGTCGCGAATACCCGAGCTGGTGAAGAAACCTCCCTGGACGCTGAATGAAGCTGAAGTGCGTACGAGGACTTTGGACGCCGATCTGGATGGAGTGCGTTCAGACTTTGACTCAGCGCCGATGCAATCTGCGGCCAAGGTTTTGACCGTCATGACACATGTGTGTTCAAACGTTTTGCTCTGCAAAGAC